GCGTGTGGGAGGCTCAGGGATAAGTACCCGGCACTAGTGGTTGTTACTCAGTTGTGTTGGAGAGGGGAATGAGAAGGTAAAAGTTCTTCTTACATTGCCGTCCCCAGGAAACTTGAGCTTGCATTTGTATAGCTTGAGCTTAGGGACCTGCTGCCTGCCTTGAGAGTGTGTGGGAGCAATCATCAGAAAAGAACAAACACAAGGAAGCCACACAGCAGCACTGACATGTGTAACTGTTCCGAAATGGAGTTAGTACAGTGAAGGAGTGGTGGTGGGAGCTGGTGGCTCCTCCAGACACAGGGTACACTGCTGTGGACCTGCCAACATTTTTATCTCAACAAAGGGCTTTCTTGCTTTGACTGACTGGCCTGACATTCTGCATACACTTACTTGTAGCTCCTGGAAATTGAGGGCAGGAGGTAATGTATTCTTTTGACCTTTGAAGTCTGCCCTCATACTGCTTACAAAGCCCGTCTTGGCGCTTTGGGGGCTGTGCAGGAGGTTGGGAGTCTGGCTGTCTCAGAGTCCTACTTGTGAAGGAGTCGCCTGCTCAGGGTTGCCCGGGTGCTCACACAGCTGTGCAGTGCATTAGAGGATGCTATAGAGGAAATTAGGGTAGGAGGGATTGAGGTGGTCAGGGGACAGAGACCTAAAGGGGAGAGAAAGGCAAGTCTTGAGCCCGAGACCACACAGGTTATTGTTCTCACAGCCACGTGAGGGCTTCATGATTTGCATTAAGCAACATAATTATTTCACTCACAGAATTTTCTCTACTAGACTTTGACTCCAGATGACAGAAAGTGAAATGTGTATAAAAACCCTAAGACTGTGTAAGGTTTGGTGTTTTCCTTGAACGAGTGATCTAAGTTGGAGCTGATACTATGAAGTGGCTGGGAAGGACCCTCTTTAAGGCATTTGTAAGTGAATTTTGCATGTTGAATATTTATTTTATATGTGAATAACATTTGTGAAGATCTGAACTCCCTCGAGCACAGGTGACAGTTACATTTTTAAAGACCACGTCACATTCCAAGTCCATTGAGGTTGGAGAGACAAGATTGAGCTGAGCCACCAGCCTGTTGTAGTGGGCAGAGTGAGGAACTTTGTCCATGTTTGTTATGCCCTGAGGAGCTGGCACCACAGTTGAAGTTCACAGAGACACACTGCTGCAGTTAGGAGGTGACAGAGTCTCTGTTTCTTGCTGTCCTCTGTGTAGTACTGTCATCTCTGTCCTGGTCCCCTAAACCCACTTACCCCTTTACTGATTCATGCCATCTGTTGCTTTGAGTGTGCTCACGTGACAGTGATGTGGTTACAAGACCCTTAAATTACGAGGTGGTAACTGAGTATCTTTCACTTGTGTCACTGATGGTGCTGGGGACCCCTGCAGGTTATTCCTTAGCGCAAAGCTAAGGATGGTGCAGTTGGTCACTTCTATGCCAGTGGCTCTCAATCTGCCTAACGATGCGACCCTTTAACACAGTTCCTCAGGTTGTTGTGACCCCCCAACCGTAAAATGATTTTGTTGCTACTTCATAGCTGTAATTTTGCTACTGTTACGAATCGTAATGTAAACTCCTGGTATGCAGGATCTCTGACACATGGCCCCCAAAGATCATGACTCACAGTTTGAGAATTGCTGATCCATGCTTCGTTAGCTCACCTTTGTCTTGAAGTTGTGACAGGAGCCCCCTCTGAGCTTGATGACAGTTTTCCTTGTTCCCTGTTTGGTTTTTATGACTGTGGCTTTTCCTTTTAGATAAGTACATCCTGGTTTTTATAGATTGGTACAGAATCATTTCCTGGTTGACAGTAGAACTGAGATTTGGTTGCTGAACTAGTTCTGTTTTTGTGTTTTGTAACTCCTGGAAGAGTTAAGAGTTGGGTCTCACCTGATTCTCTTTCTAGTTGATCAGAGTAGCACCCTGTGCATTTCTCTTCTCTCTTTGGTTTAAGTCCTCTAAATACATGACCATCAGGTCTGCATTCTGATTCAGTGTGAAACAAAAAGTGGCACATTTCCTGTGATTTGAGTGGGGTAAATCCTACTATTTCAGAATACCTTTCTATTTGAAATTAGCCTGATCAGTTCATCACTACTGGGGGACCATTTCTGTACATCCCAAATGTTCTTTTATTTTTAAAACAATCTTATATACCAATCCCAGTTCTCTCTCCCTCCTGTCTTCCTACTCTCCCTACTATTCTTCCACCCCCATCCACTCCTCAGAGAGGGTGAGGCCTCCCATGGAGAATCATCAGTCTGTCATTTCATTTGGGCCCTGTATCTAGGTTGAGCAAGCTATCCCTCCATGGGGAATGGGCTCCAAAAAGCCGGCTCATGCACTAAGGATCAATACTGCTTCCACTGCCAGCAGCCCCATCAACTGCCCAAGCCCACAACTGTCACCCACATTCAGGGGGCCCAGTTCAGTTTTCTGCAGGTTCCCCAGCTGTCAGTCCAGAGTCAGTGAGCTCCCAGTTGCTTGGGTCAGCTGTTTCTGTGGGATTCCCCAGCATGGTCTTGACCCCTTTGCTCATATTATCGATCCTCCCTCTCTACAACTGGACTCCAGAAGTTTGGCCCAGTGCTTGGCTGTGGATCTCTGCTTCTGCCTGCAGCAGTTACTAGATGAAGGTTCTAGGATGGCTTTTAAGGTAGTCATCAATCTGATTATAGGGGAAGGGCAGTTAAAGTACCCTCTACACTATTGCTTAGCATCTTAGCTGGGTTCATCCTTGTGGATTTCTGGGAATTTCCCTAGTGCTAAGTTTCTCGTTAACCCCATAATGGCTTCCTCTATCAAGGTATCTCTTTCCCTGCTCTCCCTCTCTATCCCTCCCCTGACTCGACCTTCCTGATCCATGTTCTCCTCTCCCCTCGCTACTCTCCCCACCCCGCTGTGCTCCCAGTATACTCAGGAGATGTTGTCTCTTTCCCCTTCTAGGGGGTCCACGTATATCTCTCTTAGGTCCTCCTTGTTACCTGGCTTCTCTGGAGCTGTGGATTGTGGTCTGGTTATCCTTTGCTTTATCTAATATTCACTTATGAGTGAGTCCTTAATCGAGTTTGTCTTTCTGTGTCTGGGTTACATCACTCAGGATGGTTTCTTCTAGCTCCAAATATTCTTGTTGTTTTTCTTTTTTAAAAAATGTTGTATCAAGGAAACACCTGAATTGTTAATTGTGAAAGAAGGCTTATGAACACAGAACACCGTCTAAGAAGTTGCATGTTAGCTGGAGGCATTTCCATGTGTATTCTTTCTAAAATAAAGGAACTCTGGGCCTGTTGTTACTCATGGTGCTACTGCTGATCTCTCTTTAAATATAAAAATATACAAAACTCAGGTGTAATCTATTTAGGTTCCCTCCTCCTTAAAGAAATGTGAAATAGGTCTCTTCCTGAAAGGCTGAGACCCCAGGCTGTGATGATCATGTCTGACATTTGAAGTGTGTGGTCATTGCTCTGTAATGTTCTTGTTCTACAAGCTGAATGGGCCTGTTTTCATTACTTTCCTTTCTGAGGTCTGTAGTTTTTTTTTTTTTTCTTTTTCTTTTTTTGGTTTTTCGAGACAGGGTTTCTCTGTGGTTTTGGAGGCTGTCCTGGAACTCACTCTTGTAGACCAGCTGGTCTCGAACTCACAAAGATCCTCCTGCCTCTGCCTCCTGAGTGCTGGGATTAAAGGTGTGCACTGCCACTGCCCAGCTGTATTTTGTATTTTAAGTTGGAAAACTCTAAAAAACATACTTGCAGGCCAGGCCAGGGCCTCATGGGAGGCCCTGAGCTGTGGCTTTGGAAGGACCTAAAGAAGGAAGGAACACACTTTCTGTTTTTTTTGATATAGTCTCACAGTAGCCGAGGCTAGCCAGGGACTGGAACAGTCCTTTGCCTCAGTGTCCATAGTGCTGGGGTTACACCGTGGCAAGCCTTGAAATCCCCGCACTTGACAGCTCTGAGCTCCAATTTGGCCAATCTGCTATTCACTGTGAAGGCCTATGTGAGGAAGTGAGGACTGGGGCCTTGTGTGGGAATTTGAGCCAGGTGAGCATTACTTGGGAAGCAGAGTGTAGCTGAGCTGATGCTGTAGTCACACCTGACAGAGAAACACTGATGCTAGAACTGATTTCTAGTGACAGAAACAGGACGTGTCTACTTTGTCAGCACATAAGCTGCTATATCAACAGGGTTAGAAACCAACCCCTCCTCCTCTGCCCTCTAGACAAATGCTCAGACCTTGGAAAATACAGTAAGCTTCTACCAAGAAGAGCTGTGTGTGAAGATCCTTGGAGCCAGCAGGGCTTTTCCTTTGTAGGTGAACAAGTGACAAGGGCACACCTGGTCTCCACTGAAGTCAGTACCTTGTGACTGGCCTCTTCCCACTGTGTATTGAAGCATTTGTAGAGCTTACTCACATTTTGGAGGTTGTTTTTTGGGGGGGCAGTTAAACTCGAAAGATTTGGAGGATTGGGAAAGCAGTCATAAAATAGGATCAGCTTCAGGATTTGGCAGGTATGAAGTAATGACATAAATATGTACCTGAGGTTGTTTTGATTTGCTTTCGGCAAAATCTTGTTACTGACATGGTTTTCAGGAGGTGGGATTTTAATGCGGTTTCATTTGTATTTTTAATGTAAGTGTAATTATTGTGTGCTTTTACCAAAAGAGAGCTGGAAGTGACAGAACTGGCATTCCTTAGGGAACAGTATGGATCTGACCTGCTTGAGTGTAGTAGGGCTCTGGCCTTTAGCAAACAACTCTTACTGCCTTTCTTTCTGGTGAGAGAGTGATCAAGTTTTTAAATGTACAGTTTTTTTTTTTAAAGATTTTTATTTATTTATTATATATACAACATTCTGCTTCCACGTATATCTGCACACCAGAAAATGGCACCAGATCTCATTCAAGGTGGTTGTGAGCCACCATGTGGTTGCTGGGAATTGAACTCAGGACCTCTGGAAGAGCAGTCAGTGCTCTTAACCTCTGAGCCATCTCTCCAGCCCTAAATGTACAGTTTTGTTTCAAGAAGTTTTGAGAAAAGTGGTCTTATTTTTATTTGTGGCTTCATGACTCCTAAGTTTACAGTTTTTGTTTTGTTTTTAAAGAAAATGCCTAGTTTTCAGAAACAACAGTTTTTTTTTTTTTCAGCATGGAACACCATTTATTTTAAGTTTCCTCAGTGATAAACAGAAGCACTTGGATGTTAACATGTGACCATATTATTTTGAATAATACCAGTATTCTTATTGATCTGTCAGCTACTTTTATAATTAACTGAAGTTTGAGGATTTGTTTCTTGACTAAGAGGAGAGCCATTAGGCTTATATATTTGATTTTATTCATGTTTAAATGTGTGTTTTACAGAGTGATCTTAATTCAGAACTGAAAAATGTCAGATGGATTTATTGAAGATGATTTAACAGTTAACAACTATTTTGTTTGGGCTTGGAAGACAGAATAATCAAATTATTCATTCTTCCAGAAAGTCTCCCTTTGCGTTTCATCAAGAATTAGGCATATTACAGTACTGAAAAGTGTCCTATAAAATCAAACCTTGAGTGCAATACTTTTGTCTTCTAAGATTTTTGGGGGGCAGGGCGGTTACTGCCTGAAGAAAGGAAGAAAGAAGGGAAAGAAGTTGTTATTCTAAAGTTTTCTTTTTATCCCTCTCAACACCTGCTTGTCAGAGAGCTTGTGAGGGCAGCTGGAAGTTTGGAAAGTTGTGTGTGGTAGCATTTTTGTGTAGGGTGTCTCGTTTCTCACCAGCTGTTGATAAGTCTAGGTTCCCTGCGGCTATACATTTACAGTAGGAACGTTTAACCTCTCAGGTAGATGGTAACACCTTGTAAATGTACCTGCTATTGCATCTAGGACCTAGCTAGCCATGATGTCAGCCCCTCCCCCATCACTGCAATGGTTTGAAGATCTGTTTTGCTTTGTTAGGAAAATTTAGTGTTCCCTTTCCCCCTAGGGTGCTCTAACATCTTGATTCCTGTTCCGAGTAGAGATGGCTATAGCCAGACAAGGAACGATTATGCTACATGGTGGCCAGTTGCTGCTTGAGAAGTGAGGTGATTGATGATTCTTTTGTTTTTAGCTCAGAACAATGGCTGCTATCACTATCCTCTGTGACAGTATAGCTTGCGCTTTGCTGTAGTTATTAAAGTGTATTATAAAAGTGTTTTTCTTTTTATAACAAATGTTGCGCCATGTTTGCTCGATTAAAAGTTTCCTCATCGCTTGATGAGACACTCCTCTAATTCAATCTTTGTCTTTTGTCTTTGCTGCCTTGCAGGGTTGGTACAGTAGGCTTCACTAGACTTAGCTGCAACTCAGAATTTCTCCTCCAGCACCTGAGTAAATGCTGATGGTCTTGTGGATTAAGAGTACGAGCTAAATTCTCAATCCCAATTGAGAAGCGGAGGAAATTTAAAACTGTCTCCTTCCAAGCTTACCACAGCCACCACCATCAAGACAGCAAACAAAGGACAAAGACTTTGAACCGCTGTGTTGCTCTGTGTAGTCCTGTTCACGTGTGCTTTACAGACTTGGCTGGGTTACTAATAAGTAAATAAAAAGTTGGACGCTTCTGTCATTCGGACATTTGATTCACAAGTTACCAGAATGAGGGCTGTACTGGAGACAGCAGACATTGCCATAGTGGCCCTGTATTTTATCCTGGTCATGTGCATTGGTTTTTTTGCCATGTGGAAATCTAATAGAAGCACAGTGAGTGGATACTTCCTGGCTGGGCGCTCTATGACCTGGGTGGCAATTGGTGCCTCTCTGTTTGTGAGCAATATTGGGAGTGAACACTTCATTGGGCTGGCAGGATCTGGAGCAGCAAGTGGATTTGCAGTGGGCGCATGGGAATTCAATGCCTTACTGCTCTTGCAACTTCTGGGATGGGTTTTCATCCCTATTTACATCCGGTCAGGGGTATACACTATGCCTGAATACTTGTCCAAGAGATTCGGTGGCCATAGGATTCAGGTCTATTTTGCGGCCTTGTCTCTGCTCCTCTATATCTTCACCAAGCTCTCAGTGGATCTGTATTCAGGTGCCCTCTTTATCCAGGAGTCCTTGGGTTGGAACCTCTATGTGTCTGTCATCCTGCTCATTGGCATGACCGCCCTGCTGACTGTCACCGGAGGCCTTGTTGCAGTGATCTACACAGACACGCTACAGGCTCTGCTCATGATTATCGGGGCACTCACACTTATGGTCATTAGCATGATGGAGGTTGGAGGGTTTGAGGAAGTAAAGAAGAGGTACATGTTGGCCTCACCCAATGTTGCTTCCATTTTGTTGACACACAACCTTTCCAACACAAATTCATGTAACGTCCACCCTAAGGATGATGCCCTAAAAATGTTGCGAGATCCAACAGATGAAGATGTTCCATGGCCTGGATTCATTCTTGGGCAGACCCCAGCCTCTGTATGGTACTGGTGTGCTGACCAAGTCATCGTGCAGAGGGTTCTAGCAGCCAAAAACATTGCTCATGCCAAAGGCTCTACTCTAATGGCTGGCTTCTTGAAGCTGCTACCGATGTTTATCATAGTTGTACCAGGGATGATTTCCAGGATACTGTTTGTTGATGACATAGCTTGTATCAACCCAGAGCACTGCATGCAAGTGTGTGGGAGCAGAGCTGGGTGCTCCAATATCGCCTATCCACGCCTGGTGATGAAGTTGGTCCCTGTGGGCCTCCGGGGCTTGATGATGGCCGTGATGATTGCAGCTCTGATGAGTGACCTGGACTCCATCTTTAACAGTGCCAGTACCATATTCACCCTTGATGTGTACAAACTTATCCGCAAGAGTGCAAGCTCCCGGGAACTAATGATAGTGGGCAGGATATTTGTGGCTTTCATGGTTGTCGTCAGCATAGCCTGGGTGCCGATTATTGTAGAGATGCAAGGAGGCCAGATGTACCTGTATATCCAGGAGGTGGCAGACTATCTGACCCCTCCCGTGGCAGCCCTCTTCCTGCTGGCAATTTTCTGGAAACGCTGCAATGAGCAAGGAGCTTTCTATGGTGGAATGGCAGGCTTTGTTCTTGGAGCCGTCCGTTTGATACTGGCTTTTACCTACCGTGCTCCTGAGTGTGACCAACCTGATAACAGGCCAGGCTTCATCAAAGACATCCATTATATGTACGTGGCCACAGCACTGTTCTGGATCACAGGACTCATCACTGTGATCGTTAGTCTTCTCACACCGCCTCCCACAAAGGACCAGATTCGCACCACCACATTTTGGTCGAAGAAGACTCTGGTAACAAAGGAGAGCTGCTCTCAGAAAGACGAGCCATACAGAATGCAAGAGAAGAGCATTCTGAGGTGCAGTGACAATAGTGAGGTTGTCAACCATGTCATTCCCAACGGGAAATCGGAAGACAGCATTAAGGGACTGCAGCCTGAAGACGTCAATCTGTTGGTGGCATGCAGAGAAGAGGGCAACCCGGTCGCTTCCCTGGGCCACTCAGAGGCAGAAACACCAGTAGACGCCTATTCCAATGGGCAGGCAGCTCTCATGGGTGAGAAAGAGAGAGAGAAGGAAACAGAAAACAGGAGCAGGTATTGGGAGTTCGTGGACTGGTTCTGTGGCTTTAAAAGTAAAAGCCTTAGCAAGAGGAGTCTCAGAGACTTGATGGACGAGGAGGCCGTTTGTTCACAGATGTTAGAAGAGTCTCCACAAGTAAAAGTGGTGTTAAACATTGGACTTTTTGCTGTGTGTTCACTTGGAATTTTCATGTTTGTTTATTTCTCCTTATGAACTTATGGTGAGACACTTAAGAAAATACTGGTCTTTGGAAACAAAATGTAACTGTCGCGTCTCTCAGGCATTGTTTACGCTGAAGGTTTTAGCCAAATTTTACTTAGCAGAAATTCATCTATTTGCAAGACTATTTTCCCGGAGATGGATGAAAATAAATCTTCAACTTAAATGAAACAAAACAGACTGAATTGTGCAAAAAAAAAAAAAAAATGTGGTTTTAGAGTTTTCCATACCAAAGTGAGGAAAGACCAATAATTCTCATAGATCACTTAGAGCAGAACGTGTTACGGTATCATGTAAAGTGTCTTGTCTGCATTGCCAAGTCTAGTAGACCTTATGCTGAAGTAGATGTGCTCATTTGTAAGGTTTTTGTCTCTAATCCCTGCTATGATTACAAAACTGAATTTGTAGAGACTGTGGATTAGCTCTGTCCTGAAAGTCTAATGTGCTGTATAGTAATTACTTCAGGACAACTTTGTCTGTGTGGTTGGTTTTGTTATGTTAGCATGAGTCTTTGGATTCTGCTTGCCAAAAGAAAGGAAGAATGTTTTCCTGTAGGTATTTTTGTATTACTTGTATGTGGAATGTTAGTGGTTTGGGGCAGACTTTGTTTCAATCCCCTCCCTATGTTTTTTCTTACTTAAACTGAACCATGCTGAAATGACTACCAAGTCTGCTTATAATTTTTTTAATGGGGGGGAGTAAATGTTGCTATTGATCCCCACATTTATTGATCAAATAAGGTTGTTTTAAAATATAGTTTGAGAATTAACAGCTACCATGCAATGCTTGATAAATGTAATGCTAAGAGGATAATGAATCAGTTTTTGCCTGTTTTCTAGCTGCTTCCTTGTCATTTTGTAACATTCCTTGTTAATTAGCCACATGCCTTCCCAAATGGGTCCAGATGTAAGAAATGTTGAGTATCATGACAGAGAGCTGGCACTGCTTTTGTGTGCTGGGTTGTGGCACTTGGTTAGCTTGTGATACACTGGTGTTGTGTTTAGAGGAAACATCAAATGCTGACTCCATGCTGCATTTTCTGTGAGTCCTTCTCCTGGTTTCTGTCTTTCTTGAAGACTTGCTGCAGGTATACATCTGTGTTGTTACAGTCAGCACGAGAGTGCTTCCTTCCAAAGTGGCCGCCAGTCACAGAACACTCTTCACCCTTGCTGTTGATCAGTGTAGGGTTTCTGTAGGATGGCCCGCGTCTTCATGAGTTGCATGAACAGAGACTTCTGTGTTTAGCAGTGAGCTTGAGGAGGATAGCACATGACATGACTCTCGATACAGACCTTTATCCTGGCTTGGTATCCAGTTGTAACATCTCTGGGCAGTGGATCTTTTTTATGGGCTGTTTCTCCTTCGTGAAGTTTGGTGCAGAAGGCATTAGAGAAAAACTCTTATGGATGATGTGTATGTATAGTCCTTTGTCTTCAACACTGCCTGTTCTCCATAAGAGATGAGGAAAGCTACTTATGCACCTACTTTCTTTAAGCTAATAAAAATTTTTAAAATTACATAAGAAATTTATTAAGCCTTGTACTCACGGAGAATTATTACTTTTATAGATCATTTTGTAGATTTTGAATCAATTCAGTCCTGATAACTTTTTTTTTTTTTTTTTTTTTTTTTGTAATGCATCCACTTGTTTGCAGATGATGGACTTGAGTCTAACACTGACTTCGGGATCATTGGGCACATGCCGTCTTCCTGTCTTCAGGAGGTTTTCTCTGATAGACTGAGTCTGTAGATGGAAAAAGTTCTGTGTGCAGATAGCATGTATTTCTGAAGAAGTTAGAGTGCCTTGTACAATTTTTGTCTCAATTTCTATTTTGAGGTTTATAACCTAGGGGCCAAGTAGGTAGGGACCACCCTTTTCTTGAATGGAGATTGAGGCTGTGATGTGTCTAAGGTTACAGAACATTTAGAAAGATGAGAGATCAGTTCTCCAAATCTGGATTCAGAGTCTGCCCACATGGGTTGGAATGAATGGTTTGTGGTTTCTGACAGTCTTCTCTTAAAGAATTCTCCACTTGAGATAACCTTTCGGGTTTTGAAAACATTAATAGGATCTTGAGTTGTTGAAATTTGTGTTAAGTTGGAGGAGTTAGTATTTCCTTTGGACACACCCCTATGCACTTAGCAAGCACTTTCCTGACCCTCATATTTAGAGCATAGGTGAATAGGTATTTGTGTGAATTTCCCCTTTATCTGATGTTGAGTCCTAATAATTTGGAGTCTTCTTAGCCTCTCGTTGTTGTCTTACAGTGAGCTACATAAAATTCATAATCATGTATCGTGTAAATAGTAGGTCAGACTTGGAGTGCCAGTGTGTATTAATAAGGAGTGACTTATCGCATCCATTAGGTGTTTATTCTTTATTGACTCCCAAGTCCCTAATGCTTGTCTTCCTTCCTGCTTCCCTCTAACAGACACTGTGACTGAATAAGTGTGTGAGTCGGTGATGGCAGCTTCATTTCAGGAAACCAGTCTTTAGTCTGTAGGTTGTTGGATGATCTTGGAGTGATGCATGATAATTTCATCCCTCATCTGCATATATGAGTCCTGAAAGATGGCGTGGATCTGTATGGATGTTTGCACATGCATTTTTGTGCTTGTGTAAGCTAAGGTTCTGAATTGACCAAGACTGACACTGACTAAAACAGTTTGGTTTACAAAGGTAGGTGAGAAACAGTTATCCTCTGTAGCTGGTAGCCCAAGCTTCTAGATGTTTTGTCTTCCCAGGCATTTCGAGTCTGGGTCTAGAGTGAAGGGCGTTTGACGGTGACCTGGAGAATGGCTGTTGCCTCTTCTGTGGGACTTGAGGTCTCTCATTTCAGAAGATTGTGTCCTGCCATCCCGAGAATACACAGCTGGGCCCATCTCTCCTCCAGCCATTCTCTCTTGGCAGTGGTTGTCTCTGTCTTTAGAAAAGCATCAGGTAGTAACACCTGTCCTTGGCTCAGATCCAGTGGCTCTCATTCCCAGGGCTTCCTTCTCACTGGCTCAGAGAGCCACCATTACCTTGCACAGAGAGGCTGAGCAGGCTTGTTGTGTCCTTGTCTCTTAGAGATGTCACCATAGAAACTAGCAGAGGCCCTTTACTTTGTGAAACTTGCCAGTTAAGAGTGGATCAGTGGAGTTATTGGTTTTCAGAACATGGGGTTAAAAGCCTTGACTGAGGTGGTTATGAATCTTTAAATTCCAAGTGCATGTTCTTCTCACCTCTTTGATCGCCATTTAGTATAATCTAGGGATGAGTCTTCCTCTCCACCAAATAAATAAGCTTTGTCATTACCCACTAAGAGATTAGGTCTTGCAGCCTCTCGGTTGACTGGTACTGTAGACCTAAGATTGCGTCATTCCCTCAACCGTATGTCCCTCACGTCTTCACTGGAGGTGTGATTGCAGAGGGACCACATAGGTATCTAGTAGTGCAGCTCACCATTCCTGTTAAATCATGTGACTGCAGAGCCTTGTTGGTGCACAGTTTTTCTAAGAAATAGTAATAATAAGCTTGAGATGTTGACAAGGGTGTATGTATGACAGATGTGAACAAACACTACTCTAAAGTCTGCAGAGGCAAAGGTCACATTGACTGAGTTCTAGAGCTTGAGGCATCTGGGCTGCCAGCTAATATAAGCCCCACCCCAGGGCCCGAGGCCTCGCTTGCTAACCCCTAGTTTAATGTTAAAATGATAGAGGCCAAAGTGGCTGATATCTAATAGTGGTATTTTAGTGAAAGTCATGCTTGTAGGCGTGCTTATCTCTGGGATTCCGTATTGCCTACGCAGAGTACAAGTGTGTCTGGTTATCTTGTCTCCATTGCCTCTTAGTTATCACCTGCTCTTATTTCAGAACTTCCTGACTTCCTGTTTAGCACTTGTTTTTGTTTTTCGCATACTCTCTTGATGTGCAGATGTCTTGCTTTGCCCCAGTATTGAGGACTTACAACCAAATAACAGTTCATTAAATTTCAGTTAGGCTTAAACATACCAAACTTATAGTAACTAAAAATGTTAATCCTGTCACACTGTCCCGAATACTGTGGCCGTTCAGCTACTTTGACTCCTAGGAGTGAAGTGAGCTGAGGTTCTGTGTGAGAGTATTGTTAGTGCCAAGTCCCACACTTAGTCATTTGTTTTCATTTAAAGTTCTCACTACTGACGGATCTTTTAACAACGTTGTGAAATTGATGCCATTTATGTTTCTGTCCCCACTCCTTTATAAAAGGCGAGGTTTAACTGGAGTGTAAGCCACCATTTTTCTAGCAACCAATAGCTGTTGCCCTGTAGCCTTTTGCTGGGAAACAAAGGAAAAGATGTATAGTGTGTGTGTGTGTAGTGACTCATCCGTGCACTTTACTCTTGAGAGGTGTGTGCCTCCTGCATGCCCTGTGGGTGGCCCAAGTCCTCTAAGTGTGGGGCAGTGGTTTTGCTGTGCCTGCGAAGGCCAAGGAGTGCTGTGCCTCTGTGCTGGCCCTGGGGCCCTCCTGTCTCCCCCCCCCCCAGGCAGTGGATGTCTAGTGACTCTGTGAGGGATTTTCTGAACAGCACAAGTTGACAGTGTAACCCACAGCAAAATTAGATGAATTTGCCCTGTTTTCCTAAGTGCTGCTGGATATATAAATTTATATGTAAATAACACACACTAATTTATTATTCAATTTATCAGTGTAGCCTAGGCTTCTGAAAGCAGAATGTTGTTTGTGTGTGTGTGTGTGTGTGTGTGTGTGTGTGTGTGTGTGTGTGTGTGTTTGTGTTTATTTGAAAGAAAATGACCCTCATAATCTCATAGGAAGTGGCACTATTAGACGGTGTGGCCTAGTTTGAGTAGCTGTGGCTTTCTTGGAGGAGAAACAGATTGGACTTATTGAAATCTTCAAATGACAGTTGCTAGTATACAAGATTTTCCACAGTATAATCTAATTTTGAGGTTTGTGTTTAGGTTATAGGTAGCTTTCCGCTTGCCAGTGTTGATAAGCTAGTTTGCACCTGTCCCTTCCTTAGCAGTAAGCTTCCTATGCTGTCTTTAGCTTTTATTGTATCTAGTGAAGAAAGCTAATAAGAAAGAACACATTTACACACCTTTATATGTATGTAGTCTTTGGTTCATGGAAATAAGGCAGTTGAGTATATGTATTGTAGCTTAATGTCATTTATTCATCTTGTTTGTGTTTATATCTATAATTAAAAATTTCTAGTTACATTATCTGAGTATATTTTTAGGATGTTCCAGTATAGGTTTGGTAAGAACTCATATAACAGTAGTTCATATTTCCATGTTTGAGGAGAGACTAAAGGTCCGTAGAAAGCACAGAACTGTGTTCACGTGTGTTTGTCTCCACTTGTAAAAAGCACAAATCCTAATAGTGTTCTCACTAACCCGCAAGTGCAAGTCATAGAGTAGCAAGTCTTTGTCCCAGGGTTGTCCTCGGGAAGACCTCAGTACTGAAAGCAAGGCCTTGAGCCCCTGTCACAGCTGGGTCCTTCCTCTGTTTGTGTGGCTCTGATGGAGAGTAACTGTTTCCTTTGGGGTAGTCAGGGAGATGAGGTCTGGGACACAGGCCCTCAATCTGAAGCTGAGACCAGGACAGTCGGGTTTCTGGTGGGCAGAACAGGTGACAGCTTTGTAAATGACAGTTATTTGAATGCTTAGAAAACAAAATCTTGTCTAGAAGAAATGTTACTTGTTTTCAAGTGCTCTAAAAAACATGAAAAAACTCACATTAAATAGTTGAAATACTATATTGATTTCTTGTGTAGGTTTGCAGGAGGTGGCATTACCCCTGTTCTGTTTATGTACTTAACTGGCCTCTTTAGTAGTGAGTTGGATCTGTGTGTTCCAAACATCAAACTTTTTCTGGACAGATTCGGCATGACATTGCTTTTCATAATGGCACTGAGAATTTTTGAATGTGTTCTGTTAGCTAGCTCCTCAAGACTAGATGGATAGAGACCTGTGGGTGTGCATGCAGAGATGAAAATGGCCCTTCCTCCCATCCAGATCCCCCTTCCCCTGGTTTGCTTTACCTCCAAATAGTCCCATGTTTACCAAGAATGAAAATGACCCGTTCTTGAGTTATGGATACATCTTAAGATACAGCTCTCAGAAAAGAAAGTGCCTACTCTGTTTGGGTGTTTTTCTTCTTAGGGATAGGCTGGGAAACCTCTTAACAAAGATTGTAGATGGTGTAGACTAATGTGACCTTAAAAAAAAGATAGCAAGGTCTTGGTAAGTAATACATCTCAGAATAGTTCACATGAGCCCTGATGGTGAGATTTCTCCCTCTAGCAAGAAGCGAGGTGTGTGCACCTACAACAGCATTTATAACAGGCGGCCTAGAGGTTGCAGGGTCCAGTGGGGGAGCTGAGGGAGAGGTGTGTGAGGAATAGCTGTGGCTTAGCAATATGTGACAGTGTAGAGCGGTTAACCTTTGACCTGTGTATTCTGTACCTTTAGGAGAGTTTATTACAACTTTTTGAAATGCTTTTTAAATTTTCTTTGGCAGAAATGATTTTCATTTATAATCTCATGGAAAACTGCTTTAATTAGACTAAGTGACAAGTAGTCATAGTGTAAATATGTATAATTTCCTAATTTCACTGTGAGATCTCAGACTTTTGAGTGG